GGCTTTTCCTTTATATCCTTAGTTGTAGGACTTCTGTTTACATAGGTTACAGGTGATTCTGGATGATGGCTGCTCTGTAGTTTAGTTGTAAGTCTGATGTGGTTGTGAGAGGATTTGAGTACTACTTTTATTTAAACTGCCATCTTGACTAGAACTCAAAATATCTTGTTTTTTAATATAAGTGTTAGCAATAAATTTCCACTGTTTCCTATAAGTTTTGCTATGCTGTAACTTCATATTAATTTGTCTAACTATTATCTAAATTCCCTAGTGATTTCTCCTTTGATCCATTGATTTTTAAAAAGCATGTTGTTTAATTTTTACAAATCTGTAAATTTTTCAGTTTTACTCTAGTATTAATTTTTAACATTATCTCATTGTGGCCAGAGAAGATACTTTGTTTGCAATCTGTCTTTTAAAATAAAATTTACAGAGACTTAGTTTGTGGCCTAACATATGTTCTGTATGTCTGTTATGACTCTCATTGCTTTATTGTGTTAAGTTTTGTAACTCCTTATATATCTTCTGTCTGGTTGTTCTATTCAGCATTGTAAGCAAAGGTACTGAAGTCTCCAACCATTACATTAGAACTGTGTATTTCTCCTTTTAATTCTGTCATTTTTTTTGCTTCATATTATTTTGGTCTGTCATTAGATGTGCAAATTATATCTTTGCTGTATTAAATATTTTAATATACAATGTCCTTCTTTGTCTCTTATAAACTTTTTTGATTTATAGTCTATTTTGTCTGATTTTAGTATAGCCATCCCAGCTTTCTTGTGATTACTATTTCTATCCTTTCACTTTCAATCTGTTTGTATCTTTGGATCTCAAGGGAGTCTCTTATAGACAGCATATAGTTGGATCATGTGTTTTATACATTATACAAATCTCTGGACTTACTTTTGCCACTGCAATATTTGCTTTCTATATGCCTTATAGCTTTTTGTTCATATTTTACATTCCTGCCTTCTTTTGTGTTTAGATGAATTTGTAGTGAAATGTTTACATTTTTTTCCTATTTCCTTTTGTGTATATTCTATAGCTATTTTCTTTGCAATTATCATGGGAATTACATTAAATAGCCAAAGGTTTTAGTACTATGATTTGGATTTACACCAATTTAACAAAGACACACAAAATCTTTGCTCCTACACAGCTCCATCTCCATCACTTTTGGTTTCTTGGTGTCACAAAATCACTTCTTTATAAATTGTCTGTCTAATGACAATTTTTAAAAATGCATCAGCTACTCAAATTATGTAGAAAATTATATTTCGGTTATAAAACAAAGTTACATTAATACTAACTTTTATACTAATAATGGCTTTTTCTTTAAATGTATTCATCTTGAGGACTTCTGGCCAAAGTAGAGGCATAAGTAGAACACAATTTGCCTCCTCGTACAACCAAAAGAAGGACAACAAATTTAAAAACAAAAAGTAACCAGAACTGCCAGAAAATCGAACTGTATGGAGGTCCAACAACTAAGAATATAAAGAAGAAACATTCATCCAGACTGGTGCCCTGAGACAAAGAAATACGCCCAAATGAAAGAACTGATCAAAGCTCCAAAAGCAGAACTAAGTGATGAACAGATAGCCAACCTATCAGATGTACAGTTCAAGACACCGGTACAGGGTACTTACTGAATTGGTTGAGAATGGCTGAAAAATGGAGGAAAAAGTGAAGGCTATGCAAAGTGAAATAAAGAAAAATATACAGGGAACCAACAGTGAAGAGAAAGAAACCGGGACTCAAATTAACAACTGGGAGCAGATGGAAGAGATAAACAGCCAACCAGAACAGAATGGAGAAACAAGAATTCAAAAAAATGAGGGGAGGCTTAGGAACCTCTGGGACAACTTTAAACATTCCAACACCTGAGTCATAGGGGTGCCAGAAGGAGAAGAGGAAGAGCAAGAAATTGAAAACTTCTTTTAAAAAATAATGAAGGGGAACTTACCCAGTCTGGCCAAGGAAATAGACTTTTAGGAAGTCCAGGAAGCTCAGAGAGTCCCAAAGTGGTTGGACCCAAGGAAGCACACACCAAGGCACATCATAATTGCATTACCCAAGATTAAAGATAAGGAGAGAATCTTAAAAGTACAAGAGAAAAGGAGACAGTTACCTATAAAGAACTTCCCATTAGACTATCAGCTGATTTCTCAAAAGAAATCTTGTGGGAAAGAAGGGGCTGGCAAGAAGTGCTCCAAGTCATGAAAGGCAAGGACCTACATCCAAGATTACTCTATCCAACAAAACTATCATTTAGAATGGAAGTGCTTCCCAGACAAGGTCAAGTTAAAGGAGTTCATCATCACCAAGCCCTTATTACATGAAATGTTAAAGGGACTTACCTAAGAAAAAGAAGATAAAAAACGATGAACATTAAAATGACAACAAACTCCAAATGTCAACAACTGAATCAAAAAAAAACAAAAACAAAAACAAACTAAGCAAACAACTAGACAGGAATAGAATCATAGAAATGGAGATCAGAGGGGAGATGGAGGAGGAGAATGAGGAAAAGGTACAGGGAATAAGAAACATAAATAATAGGTACAAAATGTTCAGGGGGAATCTAAAAATAGTATAGGAAATGGAGAAGCCAAAGAACTTATATGTACAACTCACTGACAAGAACTAAGAGGGTGGGGGAATGCTGGGGGGAGGGTGGAGAGGAATAAAGAGGAGGAAAAAAAGCGACAAGTGTAATAGCATAATCAATCATATATTAAAAAATGTATTCCTCTCTTAAATCATGTAGAAGGAAAAAAGTACAGTTTGTAAAGTTCTTGTACAAACCACTGCTACAAGAATACTGGCTTTTGTAACTGCACTTTTTTTTTAAAACCTTTATTGAGATCTTTACTCCTCCACATTACTTCAAGTTACTGTGAGAGTCCTTTCATTCACCCTACAAGATTCCACTGAGCACTTCTTGCAGGGAAAGTCTAGTGGTAACAAACTTGCTGAGCTTTTGCTTATCTGCAAATGTTTTCCCTTTTCCCCTGATATTTGAAGGACAGTTTTGTTGGACATAGGATTTATTCGTTTATTTTTTGTTTCTTTTAGCACTTTGAATATATTAGCTAACTTTCTTCTGGTCTCCAAAGTTTCTGATGAGAAATCCACTGAAAATCTTATTGAGGATCCTCATATGTGATGACTCCCTTATCTCTTGCTACTTTCAGGTTCTCTCTTTGACTTTGTCTTATAAATGTTTGATTATAATGTGTTTGGTCTGTGTCTCTTTGAGTTATTCTTAGTGGAGTTTCTTGGGTATTTATATTCATGCCTCTCATCAAATTTGGGAAGTTTCAGTCATTATTTCCACATATATTCTTTTGCCCCTTTTTCTTTCTGGGGATTTACACAATGCATATGTTGGTCTACTTTATAATGTCGCACAGGTCCCTTAGTCTTTGTTTGGTTTTCTTCAATCTTTTGTCTTTCAGTTCCCCAGACTCAATAATTTCCATTGTCCTAACTTCACTTTTGCTGATTTTTTTTCTTCTTATTCCTCAAATCTTGTCTTTTTAATCCTGCTAGTGAATTTTTCATTTCAATTATTGCACTTTTCAGCTCCAGAATTTCTTTTTGGGATTTCTACCCCATTGATATTTCCATTTTGTTCACACATTATTTTCTTAAATTTCTCCACATCTTTATTGATTGGAACATCTTTAAGTTGTTATAAAGTCTGTCTAGCCTAACTGTCATCAGGTCTTTTTTTCTGAGATAGTTTATGTTGATTTATTTTTTCCTCTGAATGAACAATACTTCCCTGTTTCTGTATATGTCTTGTAATTTTTGGTAAAAGGTGGATATCTTAATCTAATAATGTGGTAACTCTGGAAATGAGATTCTCCCTCTTCTCCAGGGTTTTTTTTTGGTTATTGTTTTTGCTTATATATTTATTTTTTGACTGTTGTAGGATGTCTCTGTGCTGAGGAACAAACTGAGATGGAATCTTAACATTTTCCCAGTACCCTTATGAGCCATAACCTTGGCAGGCATAGCTACTCTCTAATTTTCCCTGATGTGCAGGTGCTTTTGAAAGTCCTAGTCTATAATTTCTGGCCCCCAAAAACAAAAAACTAAGAAATGGAAAAAAGGGGATAACAGCCTTTTAAATGCCCTGGAAGTCCCTTGAGCTGCAGTGGGGGAAACTCACAAAAATTCAACAATGGCTGCCCACCTTTGGAGTCAGAAGCAGCAATCAGAGCACAGTATCTGGAGGACAGGGTCTTTTTGGCCCACCCTGTCTCCTGATAGCTGTATGCAGGCTGCTCCAGAAACAGTATACAACTGCCTGCCATGTGGTAGGGGGTTGAAGATAAGTAGCTGCTTCTATGCTAAGAGGTGACTGAAATTAACCACAATTTACTAGTCAAGTCTTCCCCTGGAATTTGAAAGCCTATAACAGATTGTGGAGGTCCAAATTCCTGGTATTAACTACTCTACTATCTTCCCAGAATCTTCTCCCTTAATATAAAAATTTTAATCCTTTATAATAATCTTATAAATGAAAAAAAGTAATAAAAGTATTTAGAAGTCACTTAATATTCTGAAGTTATAAAGTGTTTTTACTATCTACACATGTTATATGGGTATGAATATGTCTATACATATATTTTGTGGGGTAATAACAAGTGTGATTATTGGGCTTCATGCTTAAATTCAGACAAGGAGGTAATTAATCTAAAAAAACAACCACCACCAAACCCACAGACAATTGACCTATTTTCTACAACTATTACTTGTAAACCCAAAGGTGACTGATATAAGTTAAAAACCTGAGGCCTGTCTCAGTTTAGCCTTACCTTCTGATATCTTTCTAGGAATATGACTGAATATTTCTGGTCCTGACTAGTACAATTTCAGGTTTAGTTCTTTATACCCCAAATAATCACAAGGCATTTTGAGATTGCCTATTCCAGGATAAAAGTTTTTTAAGGCATCTGATGCTAATTCTTTGTGCCACAAATACTTACTTTTCCTTGTGGACACAGCCTCCAGTAAGGGATCTTCAAGGAAGGAGGGAGACACACTGCTGCTGCTGGCTGACTTGTGCAGAGTCTCTTCCTGAGAAATGTATGAACAGAAATAGTGAGATTCCTCAGACTAACTAGTAACATTTTACTATTAGTGCTCCTCTGCTAATTAATAACATTTTGCTATTAAATATTTCTTTTAACAAGAGGCACCAAAGTTTAATGTAAAAAAATCAAGAAAAGTAGAAGACAAACTAGAACGGCTCTAAAATTAGATATGTCTGGATTTGGGTCTTGGCTCTGTCCCTTATTAGAGTGATGTGACATTTTGCAAGTTCCTTATCTTAGTTTTATCAGTTTTGAAAATAGATTTACTTTTTAATTACAGTTGACACACAGTATTATGTTAGCTTCAGGTGTATAACATAGTAATTAGACATTCATATAACTTATGAAGTGATTACCCTGATAAATCTAGTACCTATCTGGCGCCACACACAGCTATTGCGATATTATTGACTATATTCCCCATGCTCCACTTTACATCCCCTTTGCTGTTTCATAACTATCTATTTGTACTTCTTAATACCTTCACTGTTTAACCCAATTGTCAACCCCCTCCCATCTGGCAACTATCAAAATTTTCTTTGTATGACTCTGGCCAGGTGGCTCAGTTGGCTGGAGCATCGTCCTGTACACAAAAAGGCTGCAGGTTCGATACCTGGTGAGGAGATGTATCTAGGTTGTGGGTTTGGTCCCTGGATGGGATGTGTATGGGAGGTAACAGATAACATTTCCCTCTTTCTCCCCTTTCCTCTCTCTCTAAAATCAATAAACATATCCTTGGGTGAGGAAAAAAATTCTCTATCTATGAGTTTGATTCTGTTTTCACTTGTTCATTTATTTTGTGTTTTCAATTCCACATATGAATGAAATCATATTGCATGTCTTTCTCTGCTTCACTTATTTCTCTCAGCAGAATACTCTCTCTGTCCATCCACATTGTTGCTGATGGCAAGATTTCATTCCTTTTTATGGCTGAGTCACATTCCATTGTACATGTGTACCACTTATTCTTTATCAATTCATCTAGTGATGGATACTTAGCTTGCTTATGTATCTCAGCTGCTGTAAATAATGCTGCACTGACACATGGATGCACACATCTTTTCAAATTAGTGTTTTGGGTTTCTTCAGAAAAATACCCAGAAGTGGGACTGCTGGGTCCTTCTTTGTCTGTTGTTACAGTCTTTGTTTTAAAATCTTTTGTCCGGAATAAGTATTGCTACCCCAGCTTTTTTTTGTTTGTTTCCATTTTCATGAAATATCTTTCCATCCCTTTACTGTAAGTCTGTCTGTATCATTCAATCTGAAGTGAGTCTCCTGTAGACAGCATATGTTAAGGGTCTTGTTCTGTTGTCCACTCAGACATTTTATGTCTTTTAATTGAAGCACTTACTCCATTTACATTTAAGTAATTGCTGACAGATATGTAATTACTACCATTTTATTATTCATACTTTTGATGCCACTTTCTCCTCCTCCAGCTACCCCTGCCCTCAAGAAGTTCCTTTATTATTTCCTGTAATGTTGGTTTTGGTGCTGATAAACTCCATTAGCTTTTTCTTGTCTGGGAAACCCTTTCTCTCTCTTTCCATTCTAAATGATAGTTTTGTTGGGTAAAGTAATTTTGGTTGTAGGTCCCTGCTTTTGATCATTTTTAAATATTTAATGCCAAACCCTTCTGGTTTGCAAAGTTATTGTTGAGAAATCAGAGGACAGTCTTATGGGAGCTCCCTTTTAAGTAACTTACTGTTTTTCTCTTGTTCCTTTTAAGAGTCTTTGTTTTAACCTTTGGCATTTTAATTATCATGTGTTTTGGTGTGAATCTCTTTGGATCCAAGTTGCATGGGGCTCTCTGTGCATCCTAAACTTTTATGTCTATTTCCTTCACCAGGTTAGGGAAGTTTTCCATCATTATTTCTTCAAATAGGTTTTCAATTCCTTGTTTTCTCTTTCCTACTTCTGGTACCCCTATGGTAAATATGTTACTAAGCTTGATGTTGTCCTAGAGACCCCTTATACTGTTCTCATTTTGTTTTCTCACATTCCTTTTTCTTTTTGCTGTTCTGATTGGGTGTCTTCTGCTACCTTATTTTCCAAATTGCTGATTTGATACTCTGCTTCATTTAATCTACCATTGATTCCCACTAATATATTCTTCATTTTAGTTACTGTATTCTTCACTTCTGATTGATTTTATTTTATGTTTTCCATCTCCTTTTGTTCTTTCCTATCTCTTTGTTGAAGTTCTCACTATGTTTATTTACTTCTTCTCCAAGTTCATTAGCATCCTTATAACCAGAGATTTGAACTCTGCATCTGGAAGATTGCTTATCTCCATTTTCTTTTGTTCTTTTTCTGGAGTTTTATTCTTTTCTTTCATTTGGGATATGTTTCTTTGTCTCCTCATTTTGGCAGCCTCCCTGTGTTAGTTTCTATGTATTGCGTAAAGCTGTTACATCTGCTGGTCTTGGTAAAATGGCTCAGTGGTGCAGTCTTCCTAGCCATCTGAGCTTGGTCTCTAGTTTGTTCCTTGTGTGGGATGTGTGTGCCCTCTTATTCCAGGTGAGCCTTGATGCATGTCAATAGAAGGAACTGACCCTCAGGCTGACTGGTTGTGAGGACTGGCTGTGACTACAGTGTGGGAGCTGTTGTGCAGATGCTGACCCTACAGAGCAGGATTTGCTCCAGTGGGACTCTAATGCCTGCTGAGTCTGCCATTTGGGTGTGTTGTCTGCTGAGGTGGTTGGGTGGTGCTTTGGGGTGGTCTGGAAGCTGGCCACTGGGTGCACTGGTTCTGGGGCCTCTTGGGTGGTGCAGACAAAAATCAGCCACTGTTTGTGCCTTGCCTGTGGCAGCTGGTATGAGTCACAAAGTGATCTGCAGATGGTTGCCACTTTTGTGGTACTTGGAGGTGTCTGGGATAGGTTAAACTGCAAACTGAGGCTGGGTGCTGCTAGGTAGTACTGGGCTTGGGGCTGCTTAGCAAGAAGCCAGCCCCTTCTTTGGTGTTTGTGAACATTTAAGAAATATTAGGAAAGCCCCCAGCATGAACTAAGGTATGCTGTTTGTATGGAAAAGCCACTGGAAACATCTTGAGTGGGCATGCAAGTTGGGTAGAGCTGGCTCTCAGGAAATCACCTGGGCAGGGTAAACAGTGTTAGCTAGGTTGATGGAGACTCATATATGGCAACTGCCTGTGCATGTAGGGGGAAGGCTCAGAAAAGGAACAATGGCTTCTGCCAGTATCTCTGCCTGGGAGAAGCTGCCACTTTAGGCACTGCCCTGAAGCCCAACAATCAGTTCCTCCCCAGTATGTTCCTGGGAACTTTCAAGCTACTTTCACAGAGCTAAAGCTCAGAGCAAGTGAGTTTGTCCGCCAGTTCATGTGTGGGTCCTTTAAGAGAAATCCTGGGACATCAACAGCTCTCTATCTCACTTATTCACAATCGTAACTTGTTTTCACAGCAATAACCTATGGGACTTCTCTTCCTGGTACTGGAGTCCTAAGCTTGGTGAGCCTGGTGTGGGGCTCAGGCTGCTTGCTCCTCAGGGGGATCTCTGTAGCTATTGATATCCCTCCCGATTTTTATCTGCCACATGTGAGTATGAGATCAGCCAATTTCATATCTCTGCCCCTCCTACAAGTCTTGATGTGGCTTCTTTTGTATATCCTTAGTTATAGGACTTCTGTTCAGCTAGATTTCAGGTGGTTCTCAATGATGGTAGTTAGGTTGTAATTTTGATGTGTTGTAGGAGGAGGCAAGTACAGCATTTAGCTACTCTACCATCTTGACCATATCTATTAGTTTAATCATTTGTAAAACAGGGTATATAATACCATCTTTCCTACAGTTACTGAAATGTTCAGATGAGATTTTGCATTCAAAAAGATTAACACATAACCTGGTCTACAATAAATGGTGGTTAATATTATTTTTAGGGGACTATTTAACATATTTATAAAAGTAATAGACTGGGCATCCCATGAGGGTAAATGCCATGTGTCTTATTCACTGTTGTTACCTAGTATCAAACCCATCACTTAGTATATAATGAATAAATATTTGAATAAATGGATGGAAAACAACATACTATGAAATGTCATGTGACTCTAGAAAAGCATTTACATTGTGCGAAATAAAATTTAAATTCCTAATATCCGTGAGAAAAGATCTCCTTGGTTTAGACTGTATTAAAATGAAGCGCAATACTTATTCATTAAAATTTACTATGATGGGAATATACATTAACTAGAGGACAATTTATTTCCATAATATCTATAGAAAACTTAAATATAAAAGAAAATCAGGTTAATATATTAATCTATGACTGTATAAGACAAATAGTAAAATTTCTCTCTGACCTACTTAGCTAAGGTGTCTTCAAGAATTAGCCATTCACTAAAAGCTGGCCTCTCCTAAAACCTACATCTGAAAGCATTAGTTTCAAACAAGGTACAATTCAATGGATCTCATCATAAACCACATAGTTCAAACAAAGAAAGCTGGAACAGTGATGTCCACACTCTTGATACTTACCATGAAGAACAATTTAAGCAATGTAAGCAAAGCCTCAACCTTGTTCAGTTGTACAAATCTCTAGAAAAGCTAGCAAGCAACAAGAATGACCTCTTTCTACATATGAAAGGTAAGAAGGAAATAAAAGTCAAGGGTATTTCATAGAAAAAGAAAAAAGGAATCATACAGAGCACTTCCCAAATAATTATAAGGTGGGTGCTACCCTGACAGTCGAATTTAGCCCCATGCCTCACATACTTCAGTCCACCTTCCTTAAAAACATTTTTTAAAACCTAATTTTACAGAACTCTGATACATGTCCATACTTTTCACCCTACTTTTCTTTACTGATCTGTACTGCTTCCACTGTAACAGCAAAAAGCCTGTTCTGGAACGGGTGATATAAATATAAGCTGGTTTGTTGGAGACAGAAAAGTTGTGGGGACACTGGCCTGATTCAGGGACATTTGGGATTTGTTCCCAGAAACTGTTGATAGTCTTTTGTCCC